GTATCGGCACATTGTTTTTTATGCTATCAAATATCACACGGAATCTTTTAGGAAGTAGTAAAATCATTTACACAAATTCAATGAAATACTTTCAGGTACCCAGTTTAGGGCTATGAAATTAGAATGTTCAAGAAGAGGTAAAAAAGTTTCATATTTGTAATTATTTTGTGAAATGAATAATAAATAAGGGTCTTAGGGATTTATACTGGAGAGGTAAATCTTTAAAAGAAACATGGCGCTTAAACAAATTATTAAATATCATATTTATTTGGGGAATATGAACATCATAAATAAACGAGAGCGGTAGAGTGAGTTGTGGTATCGGTGCTCTCCGTCGGTGTCGACGCGTACCGAACGAAGCCGAAGATGGTCGGAGCGGGTGAAAGGGAGAGAGCGAGAGCGATAGAGCGAGCCGCAGTATCGGTGCTCTCCGTCGGTGTTGACGCATGCCGAAGAATTTCGGCGGTCTATGGGGGGAGGTGTGCGAGCGAGAGAGTACGGTAGAGCGTGCCACGTTATCGGTGCTCTCCGTCGGTCCAACGCGCTAGTGACGCTGCGTACCTGGCCGTACCATCTGGTGTTTGGGTCGTTCAAGGAGGAAGGTCGTTCAAGCCGGCAAAAACAATTCAACACGAACAAACCTGTGTACGCCCAATACATAACGGCGTTAGCTTCCTCACTTTCTCGTGAGCCATCGCGGAGGGTGGGCGCGCGTCTCGTACTGGTCCTTTCTTTTGTTACTAACCCATTCTGTGTTGCAGGCATTCGACAACCACCATGTAAAGGAACCTGTTATTGACTGTGCATATTGTTAATTTATTTACTGTGCATATTATTAAACTATTTACTGTGCATATTGTTGTGTCCCCTCTCTTGTTACTAATCCCTTGTATGTTACAGATGTTCGAGAACCATTGGCTTCGATATTTATCTCCTTATGTACTGTGATTTATTTACTGTGATTTATTTACTGTGCATATTATGTATTCTATGTGTATTGTATAATGAAAAATATTTTTCCAAACAGTTATTCCATCGAAAGAAGACATCGATCAACGTCTACATCCTCAAAGGGTTTACCATTGGGTTAAGTTACTGTAAGTTAAACTTAAATCATAATTCGATACTCATTGTTATATTCATCATCGCATCGTAATGATAATTATTGTTATTAATTTTAGTCTATCTATTAATAGACTTAGATTGTAACCATCCATTGTGCATACCAAGTTATTATTAATTCATTTTGCTCGTTGATTTCTCTACACAGACTTGGGGTACGGGCAGTTGGTCTGTACCTATGGTACGGGCAGTGGGCCTGTGCACTAAGACTGTTTGCCGATCCCTCTGGTTTCTATTGAGAAGCCAGATATCGGACGTGTTTAGTCTTTGCCTGGTAAGTAGGATTTTGAGAAAGACTCGTGCGTGTAAGGGTACGGAGTAGATGGGAGTCTGCTCCGTAAACAGAGGATCTCGCTTGCACTACCATGCTTGTGTACTCCTTTGGTTCGGGTCTGGTACGTAGGTGACCAGCCCAAAGCTCCATGGCAGTAAAAGATGGATCCGGGTTAGCGAGGTATCGCCCGTCTTTCCTATTTTCTTAAACCAGGCTCTGGCGACAACACTTGCATCGTGATACTTGTTTATACTGTAGTTTAACGTAGTTCATCGTAGACTTAATAACTGCTTGGTATATAGAATATTAGGTGCGTAAACGAAATGATCGATGGAACTTTTTCCATTCCATCTATCTCTTTCGTTTGAGTATTACCGACTACGTTGCGTTTAGTTTAAGTTATTTTGTATTAATAGCATTAATTCGTATTAATTAGAATATTAAGATAATATTAGTTCTAAGCTGAAGAACGAAGACAACCGACGAGGGATGTTAGTATCTCTAGTATTACATAGTTAAGATTTACGTTATTTATAAGGTTTATTGTGAAAGGTGGGTAGATGTGGAACTTGTGATTCCATCTACCTGCCTTGGGCCTCCACTCGCAGCAACCTCCTCGTGGTGAGGCCTGGGCAATCGGTATTGTCATCGGTAAAGTACTGTAAACTGAAGACAATATCGAGCTAATGGCTGCGAACTTCGAATCTATCTCATAAAACCACGTTCTATATTACATCGAACTAGGATTATTTTAGAAATCGATATGAGATTCAAAGTGTAAAAATGTCTAGTACTTTGAATGTTTTAGAAAATTATTCGAGATAAAGATGTATGGAACTACTGAAAATGACTTTAGATTCCTTTTCCTTATTCTGTAAATTCTTTGATTGGAATATGAATGCTGTTGGAAGTATGAACATTTTCACAGGACAATGATATAAATGGAACTTTAAAACTTTTTTAAGTGTTACAGTGATATTTCGTTACATGTTCCATAATGTCAATAATATTGTTTTCCCCGCAACATCCATAATTATTACAAATGTCAATATAACGAAATATCTTTCATGCGATGATTGTGATGTAATAAAAATCTGTGTTTCGATTACGTTTTTGATACGTATTACTCACTTATATGTAATAATATAGAATTAAAATATACCGTTAGTCCGATATTTGAAAATATACATGCGTTCGTTGTAACTGTTCAACTGTTGTAATAACAATGGATTAATAAAATAATTTACTCAAATGTACATAATAATATGTATAATCATAAAAACAATATTAAGCGCAATAACTTTTTTGTACGCGAAAAAAAACCAATAGGTCCGTCGGGACTGTAACCCGAGACTCCTTTCTAATACGTCTACTTTACAGTGAACGGACGGAAGAGAATCCGTTCACGACCACGGTCCCTTCGATGATTTTCCGACGCACCGAACACTCATGATCTGACAACATTGTACTTTAGACTCGACAACACTGCAGAAGTTAGACTAGTTGAGCTCGAATGGATTTAACGTAGGTCACAAATTCACCGTTCTTATAACGTAGAGGGCAGCAGAAAATCCCTGACTTTTTACACTATCGGTATTTCAGAACATGAGACACGAAGTCCCATAAGATGTTAGGTCTACCCTATACCTCGTCGGTGACTATGGATCTACCACCACCGACTAGGTATAGGATAGACCTATCATCTTATGGGACTTAGTGTCTCATGTTCTGAAATACCGATCGTGTAAAAAGTCAGGGTTTTTCTGCTGCCCTCTATGTTATGAGAGTCTAAAGTACGCAATGTTGTCAGATCATGAGTTTTCGGTACGTCGGAAAATCATCTCTGTGAGGTTGGCGGGACGATTTTAACTTTATAACTTTTCATTATACCCAATCGATTGGTGGTCGATTGGTGGTCATTGGTGGCCTAATTAGAACATTTGGTGGTCACGCGTTCTTTTGTAATTAAGTGATCAACATTTTACGTGAATTCAATTTTTTGTATGCTCAATCGACGCGTAATCGTTTGGTGGTCATTGGTGGCCTAATTACAACATATGATGGTACTTAGTTTCTATAAAAAACGAAAAAAACGATGTAGTCATCTGGCGGATACAAGATATCAACGTGGTGTACCAACGCACATTTAAAGACGATAAAACAGATATTTCCGGATAAATTGTCTTTTCGGAGGAATCAATCGATGTAGAAAAGTGTGCTAATGATTGATGACCTAATTGAAACATTTAGTGGTCATCCATTAACGCACAATATATGAAAATTTGTACCTCTGCAATACGACAAGCATTGAAACCTTTGATTGGCTGAGAAGTGAATACAGGAATATTGAAACAAATTTTATTGGATGAAACTTATATTTCTTAACTGATTTTGCTCTGCGAGGGCTGAATCGAAGCAGAAACGCCTTCTACTAATTGGTGGCCCAATTAGAACATTTAGTGGTCAAGCGTTTTTTTGTAATCAAGTGTTCAAAATTTGACAGTAAGGTTAGGTGAAAACTGCTTCTTTTTCGTCGGCTGAGTTGTATAAATGCTCAATCGATGCGTAATCGTTTGGTCGTTATAGCTAGCCTAATTAAAACATTTGGTGATACTTAGTTTTTATAAAAAACGAGAAAACGATGTAGCCATCTGACGGATACACGATACAGGTGTACCAACGTACGTTTAAAGTCGATAAACCAGAAATTTCTGGATTGATTGTTTTTTCGGATAAAACAATCGATCCAGAAATATCTGTTTTATCGACTGTAAAGTGCGTTCGTACACCTGTATCCTGTATGATGACATCCGCCAGATAACTTCATCGTTTTTTCGTTTTTTATAGAAACTAAGTACCACCAAAGGCGTAATTGGCCACCAGTGACTACCAAACGATTACGCATCGATTGAGCATTCAAAAAACTGAATCCGACGAAAAAAAACAATTT